ATCCTTAGTGGGAGAGCTGGTTCTTTCCCAGATGAAGGCACCACTCTGGGGTTGAAGTGCTCCCTCCAAAGACTGATTTTCTGAACTGGCTCTTTTCTCCTGGGGATTTAACATGAAGAGTTTTTTCTTACATTTTTCAACCTGTGAAAAATGGAGGTTAATCTTTCCTATATTTCCAGGTTTCTGGTCAGGAATTAATATTTTCAAAAGACTTCTACATTCCACTTGAGAAGCATTCTAGAAAGAAATGCCCTAATGTTATTCCAGGAGACTGGAAGCCAGCTTTCCCGGGGACCCGGGCCCTTGGTCCCACAGAGTAGGATGGGAGCTGGAGGCAGAGTGGGCTGAGCCTGTTTCCCCAGCCTGGGCCTCAGACAGGTCACGCCGCAGCTTAGGGGTGCCTTGACCATGTCACATAATTCGGAAAAAGAACTGTTCAGGATATGTCTAAAATAACTTTTTGAGGAGATTTTTGCCTAAATGTGTTTGATGACAGGAATTGATCTTCAACTATAAATTATTAAGATTCATGGGTATATATTACACATATAATAGATAATACATATAATATATATATTGAATTTTCTAAATAGCTCTGTCTTTTAAAGTTTACCTATACAAGACAATATTTTAGCAGCACAGATTTTACTGGCATGAGATATTTTCCTGTTATAATCGGTGTGTGCATGTATGTATATGCCTATATATATTTAGTAGGTTGCCACATTTGTTATTCTCTGTTGTTTTTCTTTTATTAACTTGAAGATGTGAAGTAGGAACGAACAACTGGGTTCAGTGCAATGATGCACCAGTGAAAATCTGCAAATACCCGGTCACGGGGCTTTTTGAAGGAAGGTCTTACATATTCCGAGTGAGGGCGGTGAACAGTGCGGGCATCAGCCGCCCCTCCAGGGTCTCTGATGCGGTGGCCGCACTTGACCCCTTGGACCTCAGAAGGTTACAAGGTAAGCCGCTCACGCCTCAGTATCCACTGTGCCCAGGAAGCTTTGGCTGTTTTGTGTGTGATCTATTCTCTCTTTCCCTCCCAACTCGTTGCGAGCCAAGAGAATGCCCTGTGTGCAGAGTGTAGCACAGGCTGTTTCACTGTTCTCCAACGTCTCTACCAACATCACTGCAGGAATGAGAACAGGATGACATGTACACTCTAAAATGATTGTGCCTCACCTCCAGAAAGCTCTTTGCTGGAATCCAGTCAAATTGGCTCAGAATTAGACCTTTTTTTTTTATTCCATTGGTGATATAATTTCAACACATAATGACACTTAGAAGGCCATCCTATTTCTGAGTTTTAATTTTGCATGACACAGATTCCTCAATGGGACTGGGCCCTTTGTTATGGTTCTAGGTGAGCCACTGTATTTTCCTTACCCACATGGTCCTTTGCATCCACCACCAAGAGCGGAGAAGTGCTGTTACCAGGACACTTCCAGAATCAGCTCGGATGCCCCCAGAGGACTCACAGGCTGTAGTCCTAATGCAGAGGAGATGCAGAACTGGCACAGAATTAGGAAAGACGGGGGCTTTTTGGGAAACCTTCGCGTGTCAAATCAAGTGTCAACCTTTCTCTCTGCAGCCGTTCATTTGGAAGGAGAGAAGGAGATTGTCATTTATCAGGATGACCTTGAAGGTAAGTCGCTCCTTATCACTCCAGCTGCTCATCCCCTGGGGATTTGGAGTTGTAATTGGAGATGGGAGAGATGGACAGAGAACGCCCCCTACTGGGCACAGCCTCTGCATGGAAAAATGAAAACTGCAGGTCAGGCCTGCAAGCCCTAAGAAAAAAACAAGACAGAGTGAGAGGGTGGGAGGAAGGGTGAAGGAGTAGTGAGTCTTAGACTCACCTTTCATTTGGGGTTTACAAAGGCATTCTTTCGGGCACTCGTAGAGAAGAAACCCAACTAAAGCTAAGACTTGGTTCCTGGATGACGTAAGATCCGTTCTCATGGATTGCATTGTGAAATCGATTTCATTTTACATTTTCTAAGCAAAAATTTTGTTCCTGACATTTTAACTGAAATGCATTGAGTCTTTCCTGCCCAAGGGTGTTCTTGGTCCTTATTTATATTTGATTTTGTGGATATTTCTTCTCCCTGATATTCCTTTTAAAGAGCTTTAGAAAGAATGATGTGTTAACGAGAATCCAACATTATTAACCATAAATCAAAAGATTTTAATTGGACTTATAACTAGAGTTCATAGAGTGCCATAGGTGAAAACTTAAAAAGAAAGATTTCGAATTAGTTTGGAGCCACTGGCTAAGAAGCGGTGATTTTGAGCTGCTCTTTAAAATCACAGCCGTGTTCTCTCTCCCAGAGCTGCAGTCTCAAAAACGTTTTCTGGATCGATTTTCTACATCTGAAGCAGATAGGTCCCCATCTAGTATCCACACATTGCATTTTCTGCCACATGAAGATTTTTCTCTGGGATCTCAAAACAAACATATGTCCCAATGTGTCCCATGAGGGACATAAACTCCCAAAAGAAGACCTTAAGAGTTCTGGTCAAGCCAAGGTAACCTTTAAGCCTTAGTCAAACCCTCTGGCTCCAGAAAGACCTAGAACTCAGGACGGACACTCCATACGTAAGGAATGAAAGTGAGGGCTTTGGGGAGGGCAACTTCTTGCAGCTTCCTGGGCATCTGGTGTTTTGACTCAGCCTAGTATTCTGTCTCATGCATGGTAAACCCTTTCCATTTTGCCGACGATTAAAACATGGATATTTGAATGACTGAAAAATGGTTCCAAATTCTTTTGGAAGAGAAGGCATGCTTGAGGCTGACCAGCCTGTGTAGAATGAGGTTTGCTTCTGGTCTGTGGGAGGAACAGGCAGCCCAGGCTGTGTGGAATGAGGTCTGGTTCTGACCTGTGGGAGGAACAGGCAGCCCAGGCTGTGTGGAATGAGGTCTGGTTGCCTGTGGGAGGAACAGGCAGCCCAGGCTGTGTGGAATGAGGTCTGATTCTGGTCTGTGGGAGGAACAGGCAGCCCAGGCTGTGTGGAATGAGGTCTGGTTGCCTGTGGGAGGAACAGGCAGCCCAGGCTGTGTGGAATGAGGTCTGATTCTGGTCTGTGGGAGGAACAGGCAGCCCAGGCTGTGTGGAATGAGGTCTGGTTGCCTGTGGGAGGAACAGGTAGTCCCCCTTCTCACTCCTCACAGGCAGACAGATTCAGGGAGGAGACGGGCAGCCCGGACCATGCTGAGTGGATGTGTAGGATTCCAGCCTGGCAAAAATGAGCCACGGTGAGAAGGTGTAACTTGCTTTGTAAACGTCACATATCTGTGATGAGATTTGCCTTCTGTCCAGGCCATTGTGAAGAGCACTGAGGAAGGGAAATCATGTAATGGAATGAAGCTTCCCCAGGCAGAAGCCCTGCCTTTTTGGAGGGACAGTCTATCTTTCTAGCGAGACGTGATTGTGGTAGGATAGACGTAGCCCGCTGTTCATGACGTGTCAAAGGAAGAAAGAGCAGGTGTCCTGAGGCTTGGTTTGCCAGTTGATAAAATGCAAGTTTGGTGTCCAGAAACAGTAGCTCTCATTTCTTGCTGGAGTAAAGACACAGATGCTATTTTCCATGGTCTCGTGTTTTCCTTGCTTTCAGCAAGGCAGGTTTCTGGCTGGTTGGGCCTGTGCCCTCCTCTGTTGGAGGTTTGCTTCTGGTCTGTGGGAGGAACAGGCAGCCCAGGCTGTGTGGAATGAAGTCTGGATTTATTCATCCTCAGGGGACTTTTCCAAGGCTGTGTTTATGTGGTGGGTCATGGGAGGCCGAGGGTGAGACTCTCAGATGGAAAATTGCTTGACTTGGTACGTGGACACTGCCTGAGGCTCAGCCTCCCGGGCTTCAGTTCTCTGACGTGACGCCTTGTGTACAGTGAACAGGCAATTTCCATGGTCAGAAACGAAGTGGGTATGAAATTGAAATTCTGCTACGTTGATATGGGGGTTTGGAAAGTTCATCTGTTCACCTCAGCCATTTTAAACAAGGAGTAACTCCTCTAACTTAAAAAATCTTTATCCGAAGAAAGAGATCTATAATGTTTCGAAGCGAACCATTTCTGGGTTCAAGAATTTGCTATTAGGAAGTTCCCTTTTCTACCTGTGTCTTTTTTCTTCAGCTGATTTTCTTTTTCTTTTACCATTGCTTTAGCTAGAAAACACTTGGTAAATGCCACCTGTTTTAAAGAAACAGAAACTCAGTACTGTTGTTGGCTAAAAATGGCTCCTCTGCTATTTTTGACTTTTTGCTAAGTTTTCCGTATCGTTTTAATCTTGGGCAATGTCTTCCTTCAAACATTTAAACGGCTATCCATGCTCTTCCCTTAACACAAACCCAACTTGCCCAGTATTTCTTGAATTGCTTCGTTGAAAAATGGACACCGTATTCTTGGAAAGGCCAGAATAGACTCTCGCAGAATTTAATGAGAGTGTTTTTACTCTACTGTTTTACCACGTTTTTCTCTCCTAATTACGCATGCAAGCGTTGGCTGTGCTGTCCTGGGCTGGGTCATCTGCAGCCCACGTGCTCAGTCACTTGCTCTGTGCTCTGCAGGACCCTAGAATTCTGTCAAATCTAAAATAAACTCGGCGTTTCATTTACTTAGAGAAAAATCTCCTGGGGAGGTTGTGGTTTCCTTAGGTGGATGAGGGAACAAAATGCAGAAGTTGGAACCAGAAGACCTAAGTCTGGACCCCAATTCAGCCACCCAGTAGCTGTGTGATCTTAGGAAAATGTTATGTTTTTATGAGATCAATTTCTGGAATTTTTTTTTTTTTTTTTGAGACGGAGTCTTGTTCTGTCGCCCAGGCTGGAGTGCAGTGGCCGGATCTCAGCTCGCTGCAAGCTCCGCCTCCTGGGTTCCCGCCATTCTCCTGCCTCAGCCTCCCGAGTAGCTGGGACTACAGGTGCCGCCACCTCGCCCGGGTAGTTTTTTGTATTTTTTAGTAGAGACGGGGTTTCACCGTGTTAGCCAGGATGGTCTTGATCTCCTGACCTCGTGATCCACCCGTCTCGGCCTCCCAAAGTGCTGGGATTACAGGCTTGAACCACCGCTCCCGGCCTCAGTTTCTGGATTTTTAAGTGGAGGAAACCAGTAGTATCTTCCTCCATACATGAACAGAACCCAAAATAAGATATTGGATGTGAAAGCATTTTACAACAGTAATATATATTATATATTAATAATGTATATAACATAATAATACGAGAAGTATGTGTGTGTTTATCTCTTACTGTTTTCATTTAGTATTGACTTGGCCCATTGGAACAGGGCTCGGGAGCCTTCAGGGCTGAAGCAGAGGTGAGGGCAGTGTCAGTGCCCTGGGGGTAGAACCGTTGGCCAGTGTCTCGCCTGTGCTTAGCGGCATCTCCGGTGTGCTTAGCAGTGTCTTATGTGTGCTTAGTGCTGTCTCATGTGTGCTTATCAGTGTCTCATGTGTGCTTAGTGGTATCTTGTGTGTGCTTAGTGGCATCTAACCTGTGCTTAGCGGCATCTCGCATGTGCCCAGTGGCATCTCATGTGTGCTTAGTGGTATCTTGTGTGTGCTTAGCAGTGTGTCACGTGCTTAGCAGTGTCTTGTGTGTGCTTAGCGGCATCTCACATATGCCTAGTGGCATCTCACGTGTGCTTAGTGTTGTCTCATGTGTGCTTAGTGGTGTCTCGCGTGTGACTAGCGGCATCTCACATGTGCTTAGCAGCATCCTGCATGTGCCTAGTGGTGTCTTGCGTGTGCTTAGTGGTGTCTCTCGTGTGCTTAGCGGTATCTCACATGTACCTGGCAGTGTTTCGTGTGTGTTTAACGTTCCTTTGCTTTCCCTCGGCTCCCCTCTCAGCTGCAGGGTCATTGCTCATGCCCACCTCCGTGCTTCCCTCTCCCTGGCTTGTGGGACCCTTTTGAACCCTTTTCTCCTCTCTCCATGGTGGGAGCATCTGCAAATCCGCAAGGCTCCTGTGATCACATTGTCCGAGGTGATGACGACGTGAAGAATGACTCAAGTGTCTTGCCCCGGCCGGGGATCCCCTGCTGACAAAGCTGTGTTCTTTCTTCCCACCTTGTCATCAAAGGAACTGTCTCTCACTCCGCTTTCTCTGGTCTTTTGCTATGTGCAGGGGCAAAGGCGGCAAGACCGTTCCAAGAGTGTGAACAAGATTCTGCAGTCAGCGGCTCACATCTGCTCGCTGCTTCTGTTCGTTGCCTTGTTCTTTCTGTCCCCTTGGTTTGCTTCCCTCGTCAGCACCTTTGAAATAAACCAGGATTCCATTTTGGAATTTCGGCGTGTATTACAGGAAGATGAGTTTTCCGCGTCTTCTCTCTGGAATGCTTTTTTCTGTGGGTCTCGAGGTGTGGACACGGTGCATGGGTGGAGAGCAGGCCTGTGGAGTGTCCCCCGCCCCGGTTACCTCTGCACTTTCCGGAGACACACTGACTCCTTGTGTGAAATTCAGCACCTTACCAGAATGATCCCAGCTCAGCCTGTGTTGTCTCTGACACTCAATGCACTGTGCAATAGGGCTCAGGAAACGAAACCCAGTCTTGCTTTGTGCTATTTCTGTGTTCAATTCCTGGCCTGCCACAGAGTCCTGAGGGAGCAACTGGATTTTGAGAAGGGCTCAGAGATGTCCCGGGGAGGTTTCAGACCATTTTAATCATGTGCTAATCTAATTGGAGGTTCATAACATTTTGTATCACAATTTCAAGAACTGTGGGTCTGGAAAAACCTCCACCTCCACTCCTTATGAGAATCTCCTATAAATTAAGACAGAAATCCCCACACTTCATAGTATATTTTAAAAAGATGTATGTCAGAAGAGAGGCATATGGAGCATCTCTGACTGCAAATATTCTAGCATAAGTTATTTGCAAAAGGCTTATTAACATCACTCCAGAATTCAAACATACAGACATGGACTACAGTGCCTGTGAATATGGTACTGAGCTTCTGAGGGAGGAGCAGGCAAGGTGCTTTAGAAGCAGATGCATAATTTAAGTGCTCTGAGGGCACACGGTATAAAGAAAGAATCTGGAGGGGATCCTTAGCGGTGGGGCCACCTCGTTCCGCGGTGCTTCGTATTGCAGAACACAGACTGCGAATACGTTCTCTGCACAGATTCCCAGTGCAGTCAGGGCTCCATTTCGGATGCAATGCCTGGTTTCTTCTGGTAAATCCTTCCCCCTCTTCCAGCAGAATCTCTGGAAGGCTTTCAGATGAGATTCCTTTCTTATGAACTGCCTTATATCTGTATCGGAAGCAAAAATGATCTAAAGGCACCTTATCCTCTGGTTCCGAAGAAGCAGATCTTTGGGGTTTGTTTGCTTTTCCCAATGGAAATAAGACAAAGTGCAATACCCATGTGGTAGCATCCTCCAGTGCCCCGAGGTGGGCAAAGTGCAATACCCATGTGGCAGCATCCTCCAGTGCCCCGAGGTGGGCAAAGTGCAATACCCATGTGGCAGCATCCTCCAGTGCCCCGAGGTGGGCAAAGTGCGATACCCATGTGGCAGCGTCCTCCAGTGCCCCGAGGTGGGCAAAGTGCGATACCCATGTGGCAGCGTCCTCCAGTGCCCCGAGGTGGGCAAAGTGCGATACCCATGTGGCAGCGTCCTCCAGTGCCCCGAGGTGGGCAAAGTGCGAAACCCATGTGGCAGCGTCCTCCAGTGCCCCGAGGTGGGCAAAGTGCGATACCCATGTGGTAGCGTCCTCCAGTGCCCCGAGGTGGGCAAAGTGCAATACCCATGTGGCAGCGTCCTCCAGTGCCCCGAGGTGGGCCACGGCGAGGCTGATGGGGGTCCTCCAGCACTCACCGAGTTTATTATTCCTCCAGGTGACGTCCAGGTTCCAGGGCCTCCGACCAATGTGCACGCCTCTGAGATCAGCAGAAACTATGTCGTCCTCAGCTGGGAGCCACCCACTCCCCGTGGCAAGGACCCACTCATGTACTTCATCGAGAAGGTAAACTCTCAGTCTGTGTCCTGGAAAAGCAGATCTCTGTGTGGCCCCCCACTGTCATGATCTCTGCGTGGCCCCCACTGACGTGAGCTCTGCGTGGCCCCCCACTGTCATGATCTCTGCGTGGCCCCCACTGACGTGAGCTCTGCGTGGCCCCCCACTGTCGTGATCTCTGCGTGGCCCCCACTGACGTGAGCTCTGCGTGGCCCCCCACTGTCGTGATCTCTGCGTGGCCCCCACTGACGTGAGCTCTGCGTGGCCCCCCACTGTCATGAGCTCTGCGTGGCCCCACAGTGTCATGATGTCTGCGTGGCCCCACTGTCGTGATCTCAGCGTGGCCCCACTGTCGTGATCTCTGCGTGGCCCCACAGTGTCATGATATCTGTGTGGCCCCACAGTGTTATGATGTCTGCGTGGCCCCAGTGTTGTGATCTCTGTGTGGCCCCACACTGTTGTGATCTCAGTGTGGCCCCACACTGTCGTGTTTGCTGTGTTTTAAAGATGGTCCATCAGTGGGTCCAGACCCTGCACGTTGCTGGGGAACATGAGGTCACACCACAGCCGGGGCGGAAATTGGCACCGGGGGCTGGGCTGTGCCCTAGCCCGACTTTGCACCTTTGTGTGAGCAGGGAGTCGCTTTCCTCTCTGGGTGCCCGTGTTCTCCACTGCCCCGTGGAGGGTTCCACCATCTCCTTCCTGCTGCGGCATTCCAAGCACCTACATCTGGGGATTCCAGATTCCTCACTGGCCGTGCTTGTGCACAAGCTGTATGGCCACTGGGTGGCAATCGTGTAGAGGAAATTCACACAAAACGGAGAAGCGTTAGAATTGCCAGATCATCCAACAGAAGGCTTTTTTTTTTTTTTCCTGAATGCATACAAAGAAATACAAAATACATTGTATATTGCAGTTCTGTAATCACACACACGTGTATGTAGGTAACCTACAGAATTTCACAAATGATAACCTCACCCAGCACACATTCTCTTTTTAGCCTGTCCTGTCACATTAAAAACACAGGTTGTGACCCACAGATCTGACTTGGTGACCCTCTATTGGGTTGTAGACCACAGTTGGATAAGCCTCCAATGTCCTACAAAGGCTGTAACTATGGTTTTGTGATACAAAATTTATATTATAATATGTAATCCAATAGACAGTATGCACGTGACAGAGAATATAACATATATAAGCTTATGCCACCTAGTACAATAATCACATCCAGCACCACTCAATGCAGCATGGCGGAAACAGAAATGGAAATGAACCATATTTCAGACTCCAGAATGGAGGAGGGCCCTCTGGGCTTCTCTGCTTATTTGCAATGCGTGCTATCTAGGGGGTAGAAACTGGAATTATTTCAGGGTAAACATTACATTATTAATTCTGGGTGACAAAATATCGTTATTTGTGTTACAAAAATACAAGTGGTCAGTCCCTCTGTGGGGCTCTCCTGGGGTGGAAGGTATTTTCTCAGGCCCCTCATTCCCCTCATCCTCCACCAATCCCAGAAACACCAAGTTTGCAAACACACTTTTATTTTTATTTTTGAGACCAGGTCTCATTTTGTCACTCGGGCTAGAGTGCAGTGGCACAGTCATGGCTAACTGCAGTCTCCACTTCCTGGGCTCAAACAGTCCTTCTTCCCCAGCCTCCTAACCCCCAGAGTAGCTGGGACCACAGGTGTGCGCCACCACACCCAGCTGATTTTTAATTTTTTGTGTAGAGAGGAGGTCTCGCCGTGTTGCCCAGGCTGGTCTCAAATTCTTGGCACAAGCAATCTTCCTGCCTCAGCCTCCCAAAGTGCTGGGATTACAGGCGCTTCAATGTGTTGACAGGCCAGGTGAGCCACAACACCTGTCCTACAAACACAGTTTTAGAAAGAGGACTGTACCGTCGAGCCAGTGTGTGGGCAGAACCACCTGCGGTCGGTATTGATGACATGGCAGACACACTTTTTTTGTAATTTTTATTATTTTATTTTTCCATTAGTTATTGGGGTACAGGAGGTATTTGGTTACATGAGTAGGTTCTTTAGTGGTGATTTGTGAGATGTGGGTGCACCCATCACCTGAGCAGTATACACTGCACCGTATTTGTAGTCTTTTATCCCTCGCCCGCCCTCCCAGTCTTTTTTTTCCCCAGTCCCCAAAGTCCATTGTGTCATTCTTTTTTTTTTTTTTTTTTTTTTTTGAGATGGAATCTCGCTCTGTGGCCCAGGCTGGAGTGCAGTGGTCGGATCTCAGCTCACTGCAAGCCCCACCTCCCGGGTTCACGCCATTCTCCTGCCTCAGCCTCCCGAGTAGCTGGGACTACAGGCGCCCGCCACCTCGCCCGGCTAGTTTTTTGTATTTTTAGCAGAGATGGGGTTTCACCGTGTTAGCCAGGATGGTCTCGATCCCCTGACCTCGTGATCCGCCCGCCTCGACCTCCCAAAGTGCTGGGATTACAGGCTTGAGCCACCGCGCCCGGCCCATTGTGTCATTCTTATGCCTTTGCAGTAAACACATTTTTAAGAAAATGTAATTTCAGCTTTTATTTTAGCTTCAGGGGGTACCTGTGCAAGTTCTGACAAGGGTATATTGTGTGATACTGATTTCGAGGTACAATTGATCTCCTTACCCAGGTAGTGAGCATTGTACACCATAGGTGGTTTTCCAGCCCTTGCCCTGTCTGGTAGGTTTCGATGTCTATCGTTGCCATCTTTGTGTCCATGCGTACCCAGTGTTTAGCTCCCACTTATAAGTGAGAACATGCAGTATTTGGTTTTCTGTTCCTGTGTTAATTCACTTAGGATAACAGCCTCCAGCTGCACCCATGTGGCTGCACAGGACATGATTTCGTTCCTCTTTATGGCTGTGTAGTATTCCATGGTGTGGAGGCACCACGTTTTCTCTCTGCAGTCCACCGTTGATGGACCCCAGGGTTGAGTCCATGTCTTTGCTGCTGTGGACAGCGCTGCGATGAACATACAAGCACATGCATCTTCTGGGTGAATGATTTATTTTCCTTTGGGCACATACCCAGGAATGGGATTGCTGGATGGAATGGTAGTTCTGCTTTAGGTTCTCTGAGAAGTCTCTGCACTGCTTTCCACAGTGACTGAGCTAACTGACATTCCCCCAGCCATGGATAAGCCTTCCCTTTGTGGACCCACATTCTGAGGTAGGAGAGGAAGCTCTCCTATAGACACCTGGACTGCAGTTGCTTGGGGTTGTGAGGGCCTCAGGCCCGTGACGCCCTGGAGGCTCCCACCGCGAACGCCTGGGGCAGATGCAAAATAGCGACTTTTCACTTCCACCAAAATGAGAGAAAATCCCTTCAAATATGAGTCTGATTTCT